CTATTCAGTCATATCAGAAGATCCAGGTCTTATAAAAAATTAAATAATAATCATCAAAAAGAAAAAAAAACAAGTTTTACAACTCTTCTCTGAATAGAAAAACAAATCTAATCAAATAAACAGCGAGCCTGGACTGGGATAATCGATTTTTAAGATATTCAGTTTTGGTATGTGAACATAATATCATGGAAACTAAGCACATTAAATAGTTTACATAATTATTAGGTTTTTGAGAGAATACATTTTTGAAATCTGATAAAAATGTATAGATGATATAAAATTACATTAGATCTACTTCTTCCTGAAAGTTTAATAATACAAAAGTGAAAAAAGATATACTTATTATGTATCAAAAATGACATGTATATCAGATATATAAAGATCAAGTACGTTAATGCATGACTTTACGATTTAGTAAGTTGTTTCTTTGTGATTGGTAATACGAAATCAGAATCAAGTGCGCATTTAAAATAATATTGTCTTTTATTCTGTATCACTATCATCATTTAAAAGAGATCCATTTGATCCGAGAAAAAAAATAGATGAATTTAGTTAACATCGCGAAGCATCTTCTTTATCTAACGGAAAGAGAGTTTTCCGATAAAGGTTCAGGAACAAGTGCTGATGAAATTGCTGCATCAGAGGAATTATTCGAAGTTTTAAAGTCATTTACAGACAGTCACTTTAGTGAACTCGATGTGTAACAAACTCTCACATGAAATAAAGTCACAAGCAATGATAATCTATTTATTATTATAGGAAATTGACGGCTTTTTTTCTCACTTTTGTATTATTAAACTTTCAGAAAGAGATAGATCTAATGTGATTTTATATCATCTATACATTTTTATCAGATTTCAAAAATGTATTCTCTCAAAAACCTAATAATTATGTAAACTATTGAATGTGCTTAGTTTCCATGATATTGTGTTCACATACCAAAACTGAATATCCTAAAAATCGATTATCTCAGTTCAGGCTCGGTATGGGAAGGTAATATTATAAATTTGTTAGTTTAGCAGTGAGAGTGTTAATTTGACCCGAACAAGCCCACTCAACTCGATTAACAATTCAGACGGTTCCATTGTAAGGGAAAATATCCATTTCTACTAGAAACTCTTCTGAAGATATAAAAAAAACATTATCCATTTCTCTCTAACACTTTTCCATTTCTGCTTCTAGATGGGGATATGAATGAAGTATTTCTGCTTGAAAAATAACCATCTCTAATGGAAAATATCGATTTCTCTTAGAAACTCCCCTAAAGATAAAAAAGAAAATTATAAATTTCTCTCTAACACTTTTCCGTTTCTGCTTGTGGATGGGGATATGGATGAAGGATTTCTACCTGAGAAATAAAGATTTCTAAGGGAAAATATCCATTTCTACTAGAAACTCCACTTAAGATGAAAAAAGAGATTATTGATTTCTGTCTAACACTTTTCCGTTTCTACTTGTGGATCGAAATATGGATGGAAGATTTCTGCTTGAAAAATGACCATTTCTGATGGAAAATATCCATTTCTACTAGAAACTCTCCTTAAGATGGAAAAAAAAGTTATCGATTTCTCTCTAACACTTTTCCACTTCTGCTTGTGCATGGGGATATGGTTGAAGGATTTTTGCTTGAAAAATGACGATTTCTAATGGAAAATATCCATTTCTACGAGAAACTCCCCTTAAGATAAGAAGAAATAGGTTGCCATTTTACCCTGACACTTTTGGATTTCTGTTTGTGGATAGGATAGGAACGAAGGGTCTCTGCTTGAAAAATAAGCATTTCCAGTGGAAAAATCCATTTCTACTAGAAACATGCCATAAGACGAAGGAAAAATCATGCATTTCTCTGTTACACTTTTCGATTTCTTCTGGCTTTTGGAATAGGTATGAAGAAGGTCTTGTTGTAGTGTAAGGATTGTGGTCGAATGAATGTATGGGGTTCGTATAAAAAGCGTTTCCTCCTGTTTTTATGTGGTTTAAGTATTTCTGCTGGAAGTGGAACAGTTTCTCTTTGAGAGGGGGGAATGGTCCAGCCCTCTTTTCATATTGATGACCAATTAATGAAGAATAATGTCTTATATCGCTTATTAGACACAGAGTTTTGCTTAAGTACATTTTTTTCTAGAAAGACTACAAAGTAAACACCGATAAGCCGAATAAAGAGAGAAACTTTTGCATTTTTGTCCATTCCTGATGCTTTTATATTTACTGACTTATTCGGTATGCCTATATAATGTAACCTTTTTCCATTAATCATATTATCTATCTGTTTACCGTGTCTAAATTAACAGATTTTATAGATTTTTTTTCCATAAAACTTGTTGACATATATACAATGTGCAAAATCTAAATATCGTTTTTATTGCAGAGATCTAGGAAATGTTTAACTTTAGATAAAATCAAATAGTTGAAAATAAAAATAAAATTCATAGAATTATTTTTTGATATAGAAAATAGATGAACTTAACAATAAAAGTATTAAGATCACGGTAGATCGTTTGCGCATTATTAAACCGTTTTGAAAATGTGGTAGAATAAAGCATACAGTGTTGCCAACAGTTCAACATTTTCAATAAATAATGTGCAAGTAAAAAGTGAATATGACTGAGATACTCATGTAACTTAGTTAATTCATCATAGCCAGCACAATTTCGTTAAAGCTTCTTGGCAGCAATGAAACATACATGCCAGAATCGAGTTATACAGCGACATACAGTGATTGAAATTTTATAATTTTTTAGGAAACAAAGTTAAAACGTTCATGCACGATTACCAGAAACCGAACGATAATCTCTCTTCAACATGTATGAGTTTAGACGTATATGATTTTTTGAACGCGTTCAAATGCATCCAGTGAATTGCTAATAAACGCTCACAGACGCGTAAAAGTCCAAAAACGGTTACATGAGCAGTAAAAGGAACATCGTCAAATCATTCTTAGTTCGATTAGAAGGGATAGTTTGAATTATAAAATATTTACTTCAATTCTATCGTCATCTATTTCTAGTTCAGACTAATAACATCCTCGTGAATTTGTAAGACGGATACAGACGTTCTGAAGTTTTCCGGCATATAGCCGAGTGCTTACATATTTCATACAACACTAGTAGGCTATATTTAAAATTATAGATTATCAGGAGTAGTCACTTTCAAGAATGCTAGATACAATAAGGCTTTAGTACATCGTCTTAATAACTTATTATAGAATTCTCACACTCATTTTCAATGAAAATCATGTAGCCTCATTCACAATATGAGGCCTATTAAAATCTATTCTGATAAAATAGGCTACACTGTAGATGACATCCCATGCACATATAGCTAGAAATATACTTAAGTGCATCTTATCTATGCGAAAAAAGGATCAGACCACATTTAAACGCATAAGTGGAATCTAAGAGCATCAAGAAGCGTATAGAATCAACACATGTAATCGCATGCTGTCGATTGGTAGTGTTCGATCGCGTTCAATTTAACTTTTATGGATATTATGAACGTATGTGAATGCAATATCAAAATTGTCCGCGTTGAAACGCGTCCCATAAATAATCTAAACCTGTTTGAATGCGTCTTATTTAACAAACGCGTTTACACACATCCAACAGTTCGCATCACGTTTAGACACTAGTACTATAGACGCATTTCAGTGCGTTTGAACTCTGTTTTAGTCGGAGATGCGTTTGAACGCGTCTGAAATGCGTTTCATGGTTACACGGGCAATAAACGATCGAAGGAGATCCATATATATACGCGGGTACTATTCTTGGAATTGATTGATTGATTATCTCTTAATGATTAGTTTCATCTGGACTAAGCCTCGTTCTAACAGATGATTTTGTCATATTGTTTCTTAATGTTTTATATATTATTTTTTATCCGGTGAAATTCTCTATCGAATGTTCCAGATTAGTTGAGATTTTTGTTTTGATAATGAGAGAAATATTTTTTTATCGAAATGTGAATAGATCAATTTTCGCTGAGAAAATTCAAACGAAAATCATCAGATTTTTTCCTATAACTAAACAATATATTGAAGAACTATTCTCATCTTCGATTTTGCTATGATGATTATAGAAGTTAAGCAATGATTGAATAGGATAGAAATAACGAGACTATTCTTTTTACTATATCTATATACAAACAAAACTCTTTCCGAAATTTTTTATATATAGTAGAATTTTCGATTAACAAAAATTAATAAATAAAATAATTATTATTTAATAAAAATCAAATTTTTTACAATGCATAAATGTTTTTTTTATAACTAAATGGAGGTTAAAAATATTACAACAAATCATATAACTACCAATGAAAAGTATTTCTAATTATTTAGCGACATTCATTTCTTTGTTTTAATACGAAGTTAATACTATATTATTATTTTTCTTGTGTGGACTCGATCTTTTCTTACTATAAATAACAAAAGTAAATATTATTTTGTAAATAAACTAATTTTATTAATATGATATATTTTTCTAAAAGAAAAAGATTTTCGTCCTGAGAATGAACTTAGTCAAGCATATACAGATGCACAACATGTTCATTTTCAAGGAATAGACATGGAGAATTTTGTAAGTTTAAATAAAATTATAATGTTCTCCTAAAAATAATCATTTATTCTAGGATCCTTATAGGAAAAATGAGAATGAAAGTATGTGGCAGAGATGGAACCGGTTACCAGCCGGTCCGGTACCGGTCTGGATTTTGGATCGACCGGTCTACCGGTTACCGGCCGGTCCGGTCCCGGTCTGGATTTTGGATCGACCGGTCTATACTTTTCACTTTCCTGCTCTATGATTGTATTCAAGGTAAGAAGGTAACCCACCAGAGAGTTCACTGCACAAGAAGATTTCATTTTAAGCTTCAGCCTGTTGTCTACAGATCGATATTTTATCGATAGGTCTGGTTTTCCTGATAAACTGGCGTATCATCAGTATCCTGTCACTATCGGTAGATCGGTTTACACCGGTTTGGACCGGTGGACCAGTTCCATCTCGGGTATGTGGTTCCACGAATGGTGTTTTATTGAATCAAATGCTGATTTATTTACAGATTTGATCTATACATTAGGTAGATAAAATATTATGATATTAAAATTTTTTTATTTTAAACTATTTTAGGAGTTGATGGTGTTGAAGTGAATGAAGCTATATCACTTAATGATGATTATATTGAACGAATAAAGTATAATATCTAATTTTTCAATTGATTTATTTAATAATTCTGATTATCTAGACCATGTCATGATTTGATCTTTTTATTTAAACAAAAACAAACAAATACATCAAATGAAAATTTAGTTAAAGGTGCACGTCTTCATGAAATATGTTTTGGTCAACAAGTAAAATTCTATTTTATTTAAGATTAATTATAAGTATTTATTTTGATAGATTTATAAAAATGTTTGTCCAATACAAGCTATTTTATCGGTTTTATTGGATTGTACACGTGAAGATCTTAATTTTGGTGCAACATTAACTGAATTTAAAGAATATTCTCAAAAATTTCATTCAAAAGGACTTGGTCGATTTCATACAAAAGTTAGTTTTGTTTTTAATATTTCAAAATTTAATTCATTAGTCTATTTTTTTCTAATCAATAGATGAAAGGGATTGCTTTATCAAATCACGAACCAATTCGTGATGTACACAATCGTTTTGCAAAGTTCAATTTAATTTATTTCATAATAAAATAAATATTTTTAATCTTTCATAGAAAACAATTAATTGAATTTGATTCAGATGATGAAAAAAAAAGAAGAATATGCATTTCATTTCATCGTTTATATTCCATTTAAAGATCATTTATATGAACTTGATGATTTAAAAACAGTAAAAATAATAAAATATTATTAAAAATATTATTGTCTTTTTTTTTTCAAGGCTCCAATTGATTCATGGTGCTATTCCGGAAGATAATGAATGGCTTGATATAGCTCGACCAATTGTTCAGCGACATATTCAAAAGTAAAATTTTTATCAATATTTCTTTCATAAAATTTTTTTTATTTTATTTTAAAGGTTCATTGAAGATAAAATACATTTTCGTTTAATGGTCATTGTCAGTGAACCTGATAAAAAATATGAACGAGAATTAAAACAAGTATTAGCGGGTAATAATCAATTTGATATTACGGAACTTTAAATTTATTTTATTTATTGAATAGATTCTTCATTAACTGATGATGAACGAAATGCTCAAAAATCTAATTAATCTAAATTGATTAATGAAGAAAAAGGTAAAAAGGCCGATCGAGTTTGTTTGTTTTTTTTCTATTCAACAAATTTACGTCGACAACATAATCTTGCAGCAAATAAGGCGAAAAAAACCACCACCACCATCAAATAAAACAGTTCTTTTTTTTCTCGTTTTTTTCATTTGTCTTTCATGGTGATTTCATGATGTCTTTCGTCTTGATTTTTGTGATATCTTTCATTTAATAACAGAAGAAACCATTGATTAATAAAACTAAAAAAATTATTTATCGATTAATTGAATAGATTATCGAATAAAACGTCTGCAACAAAGACAGACAAGTGTTTCATAAAATATTTTTTTTATTTTATTAGTTTATTGTACGTCTGTCTCAATTGTTGATGGTCAAGTGTCTTATATTCAAGAATAGAAAATGAAATTTATGCATTTAATCAATAATTGATGGACAAACATGTGTGTGGACTGTGAAAATTTATATTAAAAAAATGTATTGTTATTATTTAACATTCACACATTTTAGTTGCTCACATCAGAGATAGTTTCATTTTAACATAATGATTATCTAAAGTCTCATCTAATGCAACAGTTGCCGTTTCGATTTATTAGTTTTTATATTGAGTAAATGAGTGAATACCTTTGAGATGAAAAAGAAACATATTTTAATGAATAAAGTTCGTCACAAATTGTATTTTGTATATATAACTTCTCTTCCAAACAACACGTGTTGACTATCGTTTGAATAGAAAAGTAAGAAGGTTTACCACTTTAAAAATTCACACTACTTCGATACATTTTATCCATCGGCAATCATTGTAGTGGTAGTATTGATGGTCATTTCTTTTTTAGCAAACATATTGGTTCTCATTGTTCTTTTTGGTCATTCTATTGACTTAACTATGAAGTAGGCTCTTCTCTACAAGTTCAAGAGTTGATCAGCAAAAGCTTTGAATGAATGAAGTAGGATATCATATGAATAAAAGTTTGTATCAATGTTATTTTCTTCTGTATATATGATACTCGAAATTGATAAGAAAACTATATTCTTTCAATAAAAATCCATATTGCAATCGATTATCGAACCAATTTGTTTTCTTTTTCTTTCTTTTTTTGCTCAATGGGCGTGAAGTGACCTTCTTCCGTTCTGTCACGTGACATCAGTGACACTGCTAGCCCACTAGCTCTATACATATTAGGGCTAACATTCACATCTTTTTTTTCTATTTACTTGAAAATGTTGATGTTGAGTGATTGAAATATATCTGATTCCAAAAAAAGACACACCGTGAGAGAGTTGATCCACTCGAAAAAGAGATTGAGTGTATTAAACCTGAAGGACATTTCTTACATCATCATCATCATCTCTTTAAAATATTTTTCTTCTCACTTTTCAGATTGAATTTATGATCATCATGTTACCTCTTTCAATTTTTATTGAATCTATTTTAACGGATGAAATTTTAAAATTTATTATTGAAGAAAAATCTCCAATAAATACATATATTGCTGATTTAATTAACCTATCAGACTACCTTTATCTTATAACACATTTTATTAGATTTTTTTTTTATAGAAATTATTCTTATGTCTCTTGGAAGGACCATTCGACTATTTAACTTAAAAGTTAAATCATTAAAGGCAAATTCTTTTACTAATTAATCATTAAAAACATTTCGACATCGATTTATATTTATCATTTCGAATATATATTAGAATATTTGTTAATCGTTCTATCCTATTAAATAATATATTTTATTTATAAATTATTCTTAACTCTAATCAGAACAAACAAGACACAATAACATGATTTTTATCATATTAAAGACAACCTAGATATATTTGACCAGTTTTAACGATTAGACGATATTTCTAACAATAATATAGTTAGTACTTTTTCAGGAAAATTTCTTCAAATAATCAATGTTCCTAGGCAAATTTGGGCCTGAACTATATCAAATGTTGTTTAATACTGATCGAAATGATTCTTCTTCAACTCGCTTATTTTCAAATAAGATCATTGATAATTATCTGAATGATAATATTTAGAAATACGTTCGAATTAAGTTTATCTATCTTCGTTTTATCTAAATATTCTTACCATAAATTCTATTTGAGTAATAATAATCATGTTTCATTGATTTATTTATCACACATCGACGAAAATGAAATACGAACTAATTAAATTGAATTTTTGTATAGAAAAAAAATACAAAAATAACTCGTTCGTTAAGAGAAGAAAAAAAAAGAACGAAACAAGCACAACATATTTTAATTTCATCTCGAATGCACAGAATTTAAAGCAAACGACTAGAGAATATAAAAGAAAAACAAATGCATTGATGAGCTGGATTAAGAAGGTTTTTTTTTGTTTTTTTTTTTCAAAGTTTTATTGTCTCATACATATTTCTTTAAAACGTTCTGGTAAAAGGAATATAAGAAATAATTGTACAACAGTCATCGATTGTTCACATGGATCCATAATACCACGTTGAAGCCATTTTGGTATTGTTAAACGTGCATGACGAAAACCTAATTTTTGTAAAATATAATCAGCACCAAATGGTTCAACTTCATTTCCATATGCAGTTAGAAGTTTTATTGTTGGTTGTAATTTCCATTTCGTATCTGGACAATGAAAACGACGTATATCATTACTTGGAGGTTCATCAAATGATGTTAATGTTTGAATATCAACTGGATTTGAAGGTGTTGTCGATGATGACGGTGGTGGTGGTGCTGTTGTTCGTTGTCGAGGTTTATCATTTGTTGTTGCTGTTAAAGCTAAACAAAGAGAAAAGATTTTAATTTGAAAATTGATTTTATTTTTATTTTTTCTCACCTTTTTCTTTTTCTTTAATATAAGATGAAATAAGATCATGTAAAAAATAAAAATGTTCAGCATTAAATGTAAACATAATATGTTCATAAAATTCTGTTTCAAAACTACAATATATTTCTCCTTCAAAAAAAAAAAAAAGAAAAAATTTAAAATAGAATTTAATTAATAAAGAATTTTTTTTTGTTACCATTTAATTGACGTGTTTGAAAACTTAATTCAAGACCGGGAAGAATAAATATTGATTCAGCATTTTGTTCAAATTGTTTTGAACGTACTTTACTTGTTGGTATTGGATTTGGAACATCATCCATACTTGGAAAATCACGTAGACCTACAAGAATGATTTAATCAAAATATCGAAACTAACGAGAGAATATTCACAAAGAGAACTCAACTAGACTAGCATATTCTTATTAATAAATTTTCTATAAACAAAAAAAAAATAACAATAACATACCAACAGCAGAAATGGTTGAACTAGCATAATTAAACCATTCATTAATGGTTAAATGTGATGGTGCTTCATTACTATTTCTTGTAACTTTAGATATAGAAGCCATATTTGTACGAGATTTAAGACTAGATGGCATTGTTTGTCCTTGATGACCCAAATAGAAGAATAATTTTTGATTAACTTAAAGAGAAAAGAAAATTTTGTCCTTTTTTTTTCTTTTTTTTAATATAAAACTTACTATCTCCTTTTTCTCCTCGATCAGTAACAAAATTAATTTGTGGTTCATTAAGTGAAAATAAAGCCCATTGACGTGATTTAAAATTTAAACCATGAAAAACAATTAATGTTAAATTATGTCCTTGTAACATTAATTCACCTCCATGCATACCAATATATCGTTTAATTATATTTGTATCATATTTTGATTGTCCATTTGTAGGTTTATTTTCAATATTATTTCGTTTAATACCATCATGAAAATCATATTGTATTGATGCTAATAAATTTTTTGAATTAAGTAATTGTGCATTAAAAAATTCAGTTAATTTCATAGCCATTTTTATTATATCTGGTGTTGTTGAACGTGTTATCATTAAATGTAATTGTGACCATTCAAGATTAAGTAGTACAAGTGTTGATGGTGGTGTTATATCATTACCAGGTATTCCATGATGATCATCTTTTAATCTAAGTAATATATGACATATACGACCCATTAATGTTGGTGAACCCATATAATCAAGACGCATTTCAAGTGCATCTGTTAAAAGATCAAATACATGAAATGATTCATTGAAAAGTGCACGACCATGAAGACCTTGACGAATAAGACCTAAGAACAAAAATCATTTAAAATGATTCTAATAAATGACAATGATATCAGTATAATTACTAAAACAAAATGTATCAAGCTCGAACTTTCTTACTTGATACCGGAAATAGCCGTATCCAAGCTACCTAATTTTGATTCATACTTAGTCATCATCAATTTCGATACCTATCATCCAATTAGTGTAATATATATATATACATATATAGTAAAACCATCATCGAGACTGGAAAAAAAGTGTTCAGTTTACGTCGGTGCTCATTATTGAAAGGTATTTTTCTTTATCTTCTTTTCAATCATTTATTAATGCAAATAATCAGAAATATTATATCTGATTTAAAATTTTTCTAACCAGCCATTAGAAACTTTGAATACAGTTTTATTATCAAATTCTGTAGCAATTTGTCTTGCTGAATTTTGTTTCCAAGATTATTTTGAATTTTTCTTTTTATCACTTATTGATGTTTTATATTTCGCTACTAAAACTGTTAGGAATAAACAACGTTTGGAATCTTTTATTAAATCAATTTTTGTAATTAAAAGTAAATCAATACGCATGATTTGATGTAACTAGATGTTAATACAAAATAATTTGATGTTTTACCGGACAATATTGTTACTTTTTTTTCTCATTCTACACGTAAGTAATAGAATATGTGTTGCTCATATTATGGAGATTGTTATTACTCATGGGATTAGAAATAAATACTCACTGTTTAGAATGAGGAGATACTCATAATGGAGAGATTTTTACTATAGTACTGATTAAAAATATAAAGTCAATGCATTTTTCTACGATACTAAGTATTTAAGACGAATTATCAAAACAAAACAAAAAATTTACCTGTAGTTCTAAGATTTTTTAATCTTATAATGCCTCCAACAATGCCTTGTTCTGCTTGAAATATAGATTTTTGAAGACCTAATGAAAAGAAAATTGCTCGTTGTCCTTCATTTGTTAATGTTAAACGTCCAGTTGAACAAACATCTGTTGTATTCCATTCAACTTTACCCATAACATTCGACATACGCATAGATATTTGTAATTCTTTTAATTGTATAGCTACAAGTACACGAGCTTCTTTACGTAATTGTTTATTTGTTGTTGTTTTAATTGTAATTGGTAGTATTGGTCGTGTTATTGTATTTGATGATGGTATTCTTGTTGGTAAATTTTCATCACCTAAAAAAAGTCGACGGGCTAATGAACGATTATACCATATTTTTGGAAATGTTAAAATTTCTGAAAAACGTCTTATATCATATTCAAATTGTGCTTTTGATATTTGTCCAATAATTGATAATTGTATACTATTTAATAATTCACCATCATGTTCAATTAATGTATAACGTGTACGTGATATATTAAATGAAACAGATTGTACACTAACAGCTAATGCATTACGTGTTTGTAATTGTCCTGAACGTATATCTTCAAATAAATGTACTTTTGATTCACCAGAAAATGGATGATAAACATTAAGTTTAAAATCTTTCATATAAAGTGAAAAACTTAAACCACCTAAAGAATTTTCAATAATTTGTTCAGTATCATTTTCAAGTGTTGTTGTTGTTGATGATGATGGTATATTATCTGGTAATGCACGTTTAGATGAAAATACAACATCAACTGTTGGTAAACGAAGTTCACATTCCATTGGATGTGTTGGTAAACATGTAAAAAGAAGAACGGATGGTTGAATAAAAAGACTAACAACAACATCAATTGGAAATGATACTGTTGATGATTGATCTTCAATTAAAAACCTATGATAACAAAAAGTAAATTAAATTTATAATAATAAAGACTAAAAGAAAGATTAATAATATTTGACTTAAGTTTATTTTTCATTAATAATTGACACAGTATATCTTATCAAAATGCTCACTACTGACTCGAGTATTCCGGATTCAAAAATTTTCAAATTAGACTCTACTGTTGACAAATGATTTATATCAAAAAATGTTTTATCGAATCAATTTTATTCAATAAACAACTAGATGAATTCTACTATCTATTTCAAAATAGAAGGCGAGTGATTATGAGTCGAATAACTCGACAACGCAAGCAACTGGCGAGCTGCGATTTTCATCATTAGAAAGAGGACATTGGGGCATGTAAATCTATGGAAAAATTTCATTGATCAGTAATTGACTAATAGGATGAAAGCCCGCTGGACATTTTGAACATAGCTTTCGAAGCACTTTTTTCGTTGGATTTTAAACTTCAATTAAATCATTAGATAGAAAAAATTGTTTTCTTTCGATCTACGCAAGGCTGAGCTCGATAGCTTGCTCCATTCAGCAGCTATAGGTATTTTCCTAAGGCCACTGAAATCAGTCAGGTGACCCTAAATCAACCTTAAATGCATCACACTATAGGTAATCGACTATGCTGAGTTCAGTGGTGATGTTCTATTTTTATTTCAAAGTAATCTGAGATCATTTTAGGAAAGTTTTCGGAAATCTAGTTTTTGCAGCTATTTGTATTAAAGAATAGATATGTCGAAAACCTCGATACAGTGATCTCAGATTACTTTGAAATAAAAAAACGAACATTACCACTGAACTCAGTATAGTCGATTGCCTATAGTGTGATGCATTTAAGGTTGATTCAGGGTCACCTGACTGATTTCAGGGGTCTTAGGAAAATACCTATAGCTGCTGGATGGAACAAGCTATCGAGCTGGACCTTGTATAGATCGAAAGAAAACAATTTTTTCTATCTAATGATTTAATTGAAGTTTAAAATCCAACGGAAAAAGCGCTTCAAAAGCTATGCTCGAAATGTCCAGCGGGCTTTCATCTTATTAGTCAATTACTGATCAATGAAATTTTTCCATAGATTTACATGTCCCAACGTCCTCTTTCTAATGATGAAAATCGTAGCTCGCCAGTTGCTTGTGTTGTCCAGTTATTCGACTCATAATCACTCGCCTTCTATTTTGAAATGGATAGTAGTTTCCTTTTCAAGTATAAAATCTAACTTACATTGTATTTAAATGATCATTATCTGAATTTTGTTCATTAATTGTTTGTATTTGTTCTTGTTGTAAATTTGTTTGTCGTTCTTGTTCTTTTGGTAATGTAACATGTTCAAGTGTTTGTTCAAGAAAATCAAGTAATAATGGATGTATTGTTATTTGTGTTGTTGGTGATTGTACCATAGCACGACAATAAAAACTAGCACGTTTATTTAATGCACTATTTATTGTATTATTATGTTTTGAATTATAATGTGCATCAACATCAACACCAGGTAAAGAAAATTGTGATACTTGATATTCAATCTTATTTATATTTACAATTGAACCAAAACTTATTTGTGATTGTTGCTGTTGTTGTTGTTGTTGTTGTTTTAAAGGATTTATTGTTGTTAAAGATGATATTAAATCACGACGTGTATAGAGATTACATGAACCACTAGCTATTTGAATTTGTACATTTAATTCTAAATCAACAGCTGGTGCTGATGTTATTTCATTTGGTGTATTTGTTGTTATTGAATAATGATCATCAAATGCTGATGGTTCTTGTGAAGAAAAACTATAATAACAAAAAAAAAAGACTATTAATACAATTCCGACGCGATGTAGTTGTTGTTGCTAATCATAGGGAGTTCAATATTTGAATTTTCTGTTGTTTGCTTAAAACAAACAAAAAACTTCTGAAAAATTCTTGACCAAAAAATTGATAAATAAAATCAAAAACACCTAAGTTTTTATTTCCGCAAAAGACAAATTCAAAAATTAGACTCTATAAACAACGTTTTTTGATTTAGCAAAATGTTTCTATTCAAAATAAGTCTACATACCCACACTCTAAATATACACAATGAATACAACATCATCAAAATCTATATGAAATTAACTTTCGTCCTATAAAGCTACATAAATCAGAGATGTGCAGCGCGCCTAAAAGAACGCCACGCGGACGGCAGAAAAACTGATGTAAACTTTCAGGTAGCGGCGGCGGGCACCGCACCAAAAGCCTTTTCATCGAGCGAGGCGGCCGTCTCAATATGAGTCATGTTTTCCATTAGGGTGCGGACGGACCGTCTCTGCCGCTCCCAGCGCGGGCGGTGCACGTCTCTGACATAAGTTTCCATACAATGCAAGTTCATATTGCTTTACTAAAGAATCTAATCTTCTTTTACTCATATGAACTCAATATTCATTTTAGAGATCGTGTTAAAATATCAAAAGAAAAGTTTAGATAAAAAAAAAAAATTCAACATCAAATATATTTACCGTCTATTTGAATTAGATGTTCGATTTTCTGTATCATCTTCAAGAATTAATGATGGATATATTAATAAGTCCGAACTAAAGAAAAGAAAAATATTTATAAAAAAAGAAAAATCTATTGTTAGATTAATAATTAATTGTGTTTGTTCTTTTCATTCCAATTATCTCATATCTTGTGTTAATTTTTTATAATTAGAATGAATAGAATTTGATTTAATATGTTGTCTACGAAAGCAAAGCAATAATGTGTAAGCAAGCATTTGAAAAAAAATAAATAAATTCGAGCTTATTGAGCATTGAATATAAAGTCTTACATTCGTCGAATATGTTTATGAGATGACGAAGCTAATGTGGCTGCATATAGGAGTGGAAAACGTGGCGCACTAATATCACGTATACGCACACACACACACACACAAAGCAATATGTGTATTATTTTATTCTATTGTGAAAATAAGAAAAATTGCAAAAAGAAAAACTTACGGTGATTGACGTGAATTTGTATTATAGTCTTGTGATTTTGTTCGTTTATGATTTGGTGAATCAATTCGATTTCGATCACGATTATGACCCGACTAAATAAATAGAAAAATTTTATTGATTATTTGTTTGTTTGTTTTTTTTGAAAAAAAATCAATCGAATGATTCACATCAAGCATAACAATATAACTATATGCATGGGACTAAAAAACATACGTAAAGGAATTCTGTAAACAAAAAACCGATGCAAATGGGATAAGACATACATATACATATAGAATACAACATTTAGAATAAATATTTGAAGAAAAAAAAGACTTAAACCATTATTAGATTTTGTCGTCGGTATATTTCATTTTGTTGTTGAGTGGTGAATATTTGTTGCTGCTGTTGTGGTGGCTATAAACTCATGTATTTATATTATTCAATGTTTAGAAAAATTATTCAAAATTTTATACCATAGATTACCGATGACTAGATAGCAGGCACATGAAATTCAGACATTCCCAAAATCGAACACAGTTTTGTTTTATTTTCGGAATGAAACTTCTAGTTAGAAAAACTTTTGCTCTACTATTGGGAATAGCAGTCAAGGTTGAAAAAAACAATTGTTAACGAAAACCTTTGAACATGAACTTTGCAGAGATATAGTTACAAATAACATATAGATTAGAATTAAAACTATAAAATTAATTTAATGCTAACAGTTTGACATGAATTAAATCTCATGCAAAGATATTTGATGTTTTCACTATTGCAATGTACAATTAAAAGAGGCAATGATTGAATTTTATCCATATGTTCGACTACGATCGAATTGCGACGCAGATTTTCATTTTATTAATACTTATGTTAATGATTATTTTTCATAAAACTTGAACAAAAGGGATAATCATAGATGAAGAATTTGAATCTGAGGTCAGATTTAAATTCGTGATTCTTCTAGTCTCTGTTTTGATTCCAAAAACAAAAGGTACATTCAAATATCATACTCTATCGACTGTAGCAGAATGAAATATGAAATATATTCTCATAAAGATCGCTCTGTGACTAAGTTTTGATGCTAGAATATGACCAATTACAAATAAGATGGAAGAATTATGCGTCGCAGTTGTGAAACATAAAAAAAAACAAGGCAACATTGGTATATGTCATTCTAAAGAACTTTCCATTCATATAAACAAGTTGAGAGTAAGAATGAGAATGTGACAGGTGAAGGCGACAACTGCCTATTCAGAATTATGATTCTCCTTCTCATACAGTTAAAATGTATTAAATAGATAAGTCCAAATGAGATGTCCATTGCGGCTAAGAATCTGCCACGACCAAAATCCAACTCTATCGCGATGGTTTTCAAAAATCCCTGCCATTACTGTACTGAACTAGAACTATTGGTATGAATCCATGAGATTCATCTGGTCTCTGATGACCTAACTTCTGTACAAATCTATGAAATTTTACAATGTCTTCTAAAAAGAACCTGCCACCATGGACATCTCTGATAGCTTCTCACTAAATATTAAATAGTACCTTATTCGATTGTTTTTTCATTTTTTGTTGTATTTCTGATTTGACTGTATGTAATAATTCTTTTTCTAACCATTCATATCTTGCTAATTCTGGTTTTAATATTTCATCAGAAGCTTGAGATCGTCTATTAAATTTAAATAAATAAATAAATAAATAAATAATTAAATATATCTATTTAATCTTACTTTAATGTTTCAATTTTATGTCCTAATATTAAATGTTCATATTCTAATCGTTTAATTCTTTCATCATCTTCACTTTGATCAATATTTTCAATAATATTCATTGTATTATTATCATGTGTATTTATTAAATTTGAATTTAATGATAAATTATTATCATTATTTAAATGATCAATTGGTTCAATTAAATGTGTTGATGTTATTGTACGTATTAATTGTGAAAAACGTTTACCAATAATTGAATCAAGATTTATATCAATACCTTTCATATCCCATTGAACATTTAAAAACCATTTAGGACTATTTGAATTAAGAATATTTTTTGCACGTGAATGCATTAAATATTGTCCACTTGGTACACAACATGCATTTAATAAAATATTTGATGATAATAATGAACGTGTTGGTTTCCAATTTTTATTTGTTTGTTGAAAATTTTCAGCAAAACGAAAACAAAAACCTTCGAATGAACCTGAACTTATTATTGCACCACATGAACATGCTGATATTGTTGTTTTATCAAGTGTAAATACAAGAAAATCACTACTTTCATCTAATGTTGATATTGATTGTTGAGAATTTATTAATTGTGTTCCTAGATTATCTGTTGTTAATTTTGTTGGTGGATCATATTGTTGAAGTGGTATTGCAATACCTAAATCAACAATATGTAATTGAAACATCATATTAAGTTCTTTTGTTGTTATTGGAGATGTTGGAACATTAACTATTGAACGTAAACGTGTTGAATCACTTGTTGGTGTTGTAAATGCACCACGTTGTTCATTCCAATGTTCATATGTATTTTTATAATTTAACCAAAAAAGAATTCCTATCAAAAACAAAACAACAACAACAAGAATAATTAGATTTAATTGAAGAAAATAAAATCATATACCTTTATCAATAGCACCAGGTTGCCAATAGAAACTTGGTTTTGTTAAACGAATAAAATAAGCTTCTTTATCAGGATCATCAGACTAAAAAGAATTATTATAATAGAAATTAAATCTATATGATCTTTAGAAAGCAATGATAAGCAAAAAAAAAAACAAACAAAACTCATTTAAGTGCCATAATGATAAATTATCCATAGACAGGTTGAAATCACAAAAAGATGGTGGGAAAAAAGCTAAGGAATTAATATTTGACTTTAGTGTTTTACATAGTCGAACAATTTTCAAAAAGTAATATATAATCCACTTTTTATATTTTCATTTACTATACGAGAAAAAGTTTTCATTCCACAGGATCTCAATTATCAAATATACTAGAGGTATGGGTAGTTTCGTATCGATACTTTGCCTATATTTAACTTCATAACTCTAGTAAAGAAAAACTTTGTCAATTCTAATTTTACCAATCGAAAGAAAATTTCTTTGCGTATGGACATTATTACCTAGAAGTTTCAGAAACAAGTCTGCTACTAAACAGAAATACCATATTAGTGATCATATTATTAATACCAAGGACTCTAAGTAGGCATGCATTGAACTCTGGTTCGAGTATTTTTGAATATTAACTCTTTTTAGTATGCCTGCAGATCTTCGAACCATTTATTTCACTGAGTATAGATCTACCATAGCCAAGTCTGAAATCCTTTCTTTTGGCTTACTGGTATTTCTTTTTATTAATTGACTGAAAATGGTCACAATGAAAGCCGAACCCGAACATTAGGGTTCAGGACATCGAAAAATATCAAGATTTTATTGAAGGAACTTTTCTTTTCCATAGGGAAGCACAATAGATTACACTCTGGTTCCATGTATATATTTATATGAATGATTAATGTCCGCGCCAAAATTAAAGAGGGGTGGATGTAAGTTCAATAACGGCAACAGCTAGCGACCTGCGGTTTTCACCAATCGAGAGAGGAGACCGTGGCACGTCTTTTCTTCAATAATGTATAAGACGAAATTCTTTTAAAACTAATCATAGTCAAAAAACATATAAAAGAACCCATGAAAATGACCTGCCAGCTAGATGAAATTTTGATTTTGACGTGTGATTTAGATAGAGAAACTTGAGATTTGTAGCACAAGATACAATGCAAATGGTTGTCTTATTCCACTCTAATGTTGAGCAAATAATACGAAATTTTGCTGATTTTTTACCAAGTTTTTTGCACTTTTTAGCATGGTAGCTTGAGATTTCGATGAATATATAAGAAAAAGTAAGAGAGCGCATTGTATCTTAAACTAAAGATCTCAAGTTCCTCTATTTAAATTACCGGTCAGAATCAAAATTTCATCTAGCTGGCAAGTCACTTTCATCGGTTCTTTTACATGTTTTTCGACTATGATTAGTTTTAAAAGAATTTCATCTTATACATTATTGAAGAAAAAGACGTGACACGGTCTCCTCTCTCTATTGGTGAAAACCGCAGGTCGCTAGCTGTTGCCGTTATCGAGTTATTGAACTTACATCCACCCCTCTTTAATTCTAACGCGGACATTAGTCATATGTCTAATAGAAAGTAAAACAAACTGTCTTTGTCAAATTAAACAGTTCATAACATAAATAGATACTATTCATCATAAATCTCTTTGCATTTAAGTCATATTTTTGTTCGATATATATTTTAGCATAGTATATTCATACAAATTGATGCCTGATATTCAATAGGAAGCACTAATATATAGACAAGAAGTACTATTAATAGAAGAGTGTAAATACAAGCATGCTAATATAAAAAGTGTCAAATATGAATAAAAAAAAAACGATAGTTAATCAATACATTTTCATGCTTTGTGGCGTAACCAAAGCGGACTCAGCCACACTAGTTAAGTTCTACCTTTCCCCTTCCAACTATTCAAATCTTGGTTATGTCACTAGAGTATAGTCTTACTAATAGATTTCAATAAATTTTATTCTTGAATTTTTTCAATCAAATTAAAAAATATCTTTTGCAAAATTGAATTATTTTAAAAATAATATTAAATTTTACTTGAAATGAATTTCTTAAAAGTAATTTTGTTTTAAAATATGCAGCATCTTGAAAACCACCTGTATGTAATAATTGTCCTAAACTAAGTTTAATATATAATAAAGCATTAATTAATTGTTTATTATAAAGTAATGAAGAATTTTGTTCATGATAATTAGTTAATTTAATAAATATAGGTATTTTTTTATCACCATTTTCAAATTTAACAATTGTATTTGATGGTGTTTGTCCAATAACTTCAAAACCTTTCATTGATATATCAATTTTATATGTAAATAATGTTGTTGATGTTGTTTGTTGATCTTTTTCTGGTTCATCATCATCATAATCATAATCATTTTCAATATTATTTAAATTATTATTAATAAATTGTGTTCTTGATGATGATGATGATGATAAATGTAAATTTTTATTTGTTTTAAAATTAAATTGATCAAAACCAGAAACTTTTGAAAGAATTTCATTTATTTCATGTATAATAACTTTTGAAACAAAAACTAATTGTGCAAGAAAATCAGCTGTTATTGTTAATTTAAGTAAATCAATATTTGTTCGAAGATTTAAATGTCCTTTTATTTTATTTTCTTGTTCTTGTTGTATAGAATAATTTCCATAACAACGTATTTGTGGAAAATCAATACGTACATGATTATCAGAACTAACAGTTGGTGGTTGTTGTTTATCATTATTATTATTATTTAAAAAATGTAATGCATGTTCATGTACAATAGCTGTAAAACGTGATATCATACCACCAATATTAGCAACACCTTCAACCATACCAATTTTATATTGAGCTTTTAATGTTGATAAAAGTGTTGTTGAAAATGTCATTCCTTGACAATGTGCTGTTATATGTACTTCAAATATAGGTTGTTTTGATAATGATGACATACTTTGTTGAGTTTCTAATGGACGTGGATTAATATTTGATGTTATTGTAGTTTTACGACGTGTATCAAGACGTTTTTTTGTTGTTATACGTTCTAATGGTGTTGGTGTAGTTGATTCTTCAATTGTATCATTTAAATTTGTATTATTTAATTCAATATTTGTATTTGTTGTTAATGGTGTTGGTGATATTTGTTGTGTATCATCAGGAAGAAATTCTTGTACATATGATGTTATTAAACGACCAGCACGATTAACAAGATCATGAACTTCTTGTGGTCGTAATGGTACATCCATAGCTATAGTACCAATATTTGTTACACCACTTAATGTTAAATTAAGACCACGAGTTTGTAGAGATGTTAATGCTCGTGATTTACCAATGATTATATCAAGAACTGATATTTGTCGAGTTGTTGATGATGATGGTGGTGGTATATTAGAAGATGTTGGATTAATATTCGAAGGATTCATTATTGAAAGATTATCAGTAGAAGTTGATAGAGTTTCTTTTAAAGAAAGTGATGTTGAACCAATTTGTACTATTAATGAACCATCATATCTAAATAAAATAATAGAGAATTTAAAGAGAAAAAAAAAGAAGATTGTTTTATAAATATAGAGATTATCTACTTAGTATTTTTTTTTTCTTGTAATTAAAAAGATTTGCAAATTTTTATTCATAGAGTTAAAGTTTATAAATACTCGAACGAACTATAACTTTCAGGTTCAATACATTAAAAAAAACAAAGGTGAAATGTGAAACACGATGTAGCTGCTGTTGCTAATTATACGAAGAATGATTTATTCTATCTATTTTTGAACACATTTTTTTAATCATTCTTTTATTTACTTCTTCAGAAATGTCATAGAGAAAGTAGTTTATGTGGTGAACTCTCTTTACATAATTCCACTGGTAACATCCGCATTTCTGTAATAGTAACATCTTGGAGTACTTGAAGATTTTAGAGTTTTTTGTACGCTTTTGAACAAATTACTACATTCAGATATTGTTCATATGCTGGATCTTTTACTTATATCACCTAGTATCTGTAGTATAAATATGAAACCTAACTGATGATCTATAAGAAAGAAATCGAAAAAAAAGAACTCTATTACCTTACTTATGAGACACTCTGTATCAGTAGTTTTGCGACATTTAGTATTTTTCAAATATCTCAGCAGAGATCAATCGTATGGTCTCAATTCTTTTTTTTTTAAAGATGCGCCGTCAACAGCTCTACAAAACTTGTATAAGCAAGTTCCTATTGCGAAACAAAAATGTCTTCCAAATACTTAATACCAGGGGACATAGGATCATCATCTGACCTATGCATTTTGAATATGGAAGATACCATCAGAACAAATCAATAGGGATTTGTTCTTACAGTTTCTGTAGAACATTTCACGATGCATCTTTTAAAAACAAGAATCACGATAATACGATTGATCTCTGCTGAGATATATGAAAAATACTGAATGTCGAAAAACTCCTGATATGAAAACGAGATGTTATCGATACATGGTCTTTGATCGGATATTAACAAGGTCTGTGATCGCGCCAACTGTGATAGACTTAGTCACAGAACTAAAGTCTTCTGTTGGGTTATTCTGGAAGAATACAATACAGTGATGGAAAAAAGTTTGAAAACAACGAATTTTTTGGTTTTTTTCTTAATGTTAACCACGTAGCTCCAATACAAATAGTGATTTTAATAACCAATAGAGTTTTCTATCCAATACACTTTATAACAAGAGTTCACAGATGAACAATGATGGTAAGGCTCCTAGAAATCCGAACACGGTATTTTTCAGATTCTAGAAGACTTTGCTAGAGCTATTTTTTGAACGATGCCATCTTAAAGAGCACAACATTCTGAGCAAAACGAGAGGTCGCCGAGTTTTCAATGACCTTCTCATAAAAAGTTACAAAAAGCATGAAAAAACAAAATTTTTTTAAAAATTGACTAAAGACGCTTTTTTCATAATTTTTGTGATGTTTGTAACTTTTCACGAGAAGGTCATAGAAAACTCGACGACCCTTCATTTTGCTCAGAATTTTGTGCTCTTTAAGATGGTATCATTCAAAAATAGCTCTGACAAAACCTTCTAGAGCCTGAAAAATACCATGTTCAATTTTTTAGAAGCCTTGCCATCATTGTTCATCTGTGAAATCTTACTATAAAATGTATTGAATAGAAAACTTCATTGGCTATTAAAATCACTATTTGGATTGGAGCTATGCGCTTAACATTATAAAAAAAAATCGTTGTTTCTAAATTTTTTTTCTAAGATGGTTAAATATATTTATAAATTTCATCTTACTTTTTTGTATTTTGATTACCAGTTGTTGATGGTAAAGATCGAAGTCTTTGTGATAAACTAATACTTCCTTGAACTTTTCCCATACAACCATCAACTTTTAAACCACCTAATGAAGCAGCATAATATATTTCATCAATAATTAACCAACCAAATGATGATAATAAAAGTGTTTCATTTGTTAAATTTATTTGTTGATTACGTGTTTGATTTTGTAAATATTTTAATGTTGTATTTGTATTTTGTTGTGATAAATTATCATTTGGTGGTTGTGAACCACTACGTTGTTGTTTTCTTGATGTTGTTGATATAGATAATGGTTGTATTTGTTTTATTTCAGGTAATGTACCATATATTGTAACAAGTTCACGTAATTTTTTCCAACATTGTCTTTCAGAATTATCTAAATTTTCATTATTATGATTTGAATTAATATGAAGATAATTTTTTAAAGTTAAATTTTCAATACCATTCTCAGAATAATCATTTATATTATTTTTTTGTAAAGAATTATTTATTAATTCATTTTGTTGTTGTATTGGATTTGTATCTGATTTTGTTATTTCATCAATACCTGTATATTCAAGTGCATTACCAACAACAGTATAAAATTGATAAACAAGACGTATAAATGATAAATTAACTTCTTGTTGTACACGTTGTACACGTATACCAGCTTGAACATTAGCTGAATGTAATTGATCATGTTCAAGAGATTGTCTACATAAACTTTGAATATTTAAATTTGTTACTGAAAGTATAGATAATTCATTTGATGTATTTAATTTTGATGAACGTATATGTGATAAACGACATTGTACTATTGATGGTGATAATAATGATGATAATGGATTAATTAATGTTTGTATTTCATTTGTTGTTGGTTCATTTGGTAAAATTTTAACATCAAATCGTTTAATTTGTGCTGATGCAAGAATTTTTTGTCCTAATTTTTTAAATAATGGTTCAATTGATGATGTTAAAGATAATTCAACAGCAGCATATTCAAGTAAAATTTTAAATAATTGTTCAATTGAACCAGTAAATTCTGATCCAATATCTGTATAATAAATTGTTTCATTATATGTATCATCATGATGATTATTATCATTTAATTGTATATTATTTGTATTATATTCTAAATCAGATTCATCATGACCCATACTTAAACGTTTATAACCATTTGTATTATTAATATTAACTGCTGGTTCAAAACGTCGCATAGCATCACCTTTGAATATTACAAAACAAAAAATAAATAAATAAATAAATAAATAAAAGTCAAATTAAGATTTTTAATTTTAATATTTGATTTTGTTTTGTTACAAAAAAAAAAAAAGGAAGCGTAAAAAAAAGGTCATGCACATGCATCTATTTGTTGGTTTTTAAAATATTAAATAAATACATATACAACATTGGTCAAAAATAATAATAATAATCATTTAGATATCGCCTTGCCAAGTTGATGTGCATGAGATTTAGCATATACTTATTGATTTATTTAATTAATAATATTTTCTTTAATTTATTCATATGAGTAAATCTTACCTGATTGAAATGCTACATTTACATGGCCTTTGGATGATACTATAAGAATTTAGATACATATGTATTCACTAGCTCATGATTATATGTATGTAATAATAATAATAAAAAGTGCAAACAATAGCTAATAATAAGTAGAGAAAAAAAAACAGAACAATAAGAATACTCATGTATAAAAAAGTAAAATGAATCAGGATGCAGCATTGCATCTTGAATTTATTTTGAATGCTTTATTAGCTATTCATCGAGAACTGTAAAAATGGTTGATTTCACTATGTATATCAGAATGATACAAGATAAACAAACTTTATTTCAATCTAACTTGAATTCTACTTAGGGCATATTGAGAAATGAAAAAGCAAATATCCGATGTTGTAGAGCTTTTTGAGGTGCATCGAATGACATCTAGTAAATCCTGTCTTCATAAGACTTTAAAGGAGCTAGAGTTAATTTACTGATAGATAACCATGAGTTTTTGACGAGTTAGTAGCATCTCCAGTTATCTTGTCAGTGTGGGTGTGTAGTCATCTGACTCTAGATCCTTCAAGAGCCTATGAAAACAAGATTTACTATATACCATTCGACGCATCTCAAAAAGCTCTACAAGATGATATATTTGGTTTTTCATTTCTCAATAGATTTCCTTATCCAAATAGATCCTTTAAACGTCATAGCCAGAACTTTTCGCATGCCTTAAGTTACTCAAAGAAAAAGATTTGCGCGTTGAAGTAATTTTCTCTGTACAAAAACCACCAGTAGACCGGCAATCAGCAAGCTGTAGTTTGATATTTAAATGGTCGACTAACCTCTGATCATCATTCGACTTGATAGAGTTGTCCTATGACTCACAATCTACTACCAGTATACCGTCGATTCTTATGAGTATCACACAGCGTGCATAGAAGTGAACATTAAACGAAAAAACCGAAAGTCGCCCTTTCATAGATTCAAATATACTTTTTGACATACTCTACCTAATGGCATAAAAAAAAGTTTTGTTACGAGATTTAACTATATGAAGTTTTCCAATATCTTCTAAAAAGAATCTACCGCTATGGGCAGGTCTTAATGAGGTTCATAAAAGTCTAAAACAGCTTGTTTCCATGAGCTTTTGGTACTGAATTATGCACGGGGATGAACTATTCAAGACTTTTGCTAATCTCACTGAGATCTATCTGTTGATTCAATATGGGGGTCAAACGACAGTTGCCATGAAATTCTTTCTTTTTTTTCTTAATAACGATTTTGTGAGTGATAATATGCAATTACTTCTAAGCAAAAGAAAGCCATTTTCGAGCACGAAAGTTACATGTCGGTCTGTCATGCGAAAAACGCACAATATATACCGCAGTAATGTTAACATAAACGTGCGCAACATGGATAATATAATGTTGATTGAACGGAAAAACAATCCAAAGAAAATTTGTTCTATTCTTTCTTTTCATGCATTTATTATATCAAGTTACTACTTAGTAAATATTGATTATAAATATATCTCATTCAATTTTAAATCAATATTCTCAACCAAAAAAAAAAAAAAAAGCAAATGACAAAAAGCAGGTTCTAAATATTAATCCTACCGTGTGATAATCTTTCTCGAACAGCTACTCATTGTAAAAAAGAAAAATAATATTTTTGATAAATTTTTTTGAAAGAAAAAACAAACTATTAGTTTTTTTTGATCTAACAAACAAAAACAACAAAAAAAAAAGAGCTTTACCTAGAAAACTTGATGCACGTCGATGTTCTCGATTTGATGATGATGGTTCATTATGATCCATATCAATAATAGAATCTTTATTATTAATATTTGATCGAGGATTTTGTACTGTCATACGTCGTCGAATATTTGTACCATTTATTGTAAAATTTTCTATATTATCTTGTTGTTTATTTGATGTTATTAATGAACGACGTGGATGTGTTGTAACAAATTCATGTCCAATAAAACGTTGAACACGATCAACCATTGTTGATGCACGTGCAACAGTTGGTAGTTGTTCTTGATCATTATTATTTATTGGTAATAAAGTATTTATAGGTGATGTTGTTATTGTTGATGATGGTGGTTGAATAATTGTTTTATGTGGTTGTTGTTTTATTATTTGAACCCAATCACGACATGCTTCACGTATACCTTGTTTAAGTATTGTTAATTCAGGAATAATATTTGATTGTAAATTAATATTAATTTGTGTATTTTTATTAAAATTTTTACGAAATTCACTAACAATTTGACAAACAGGATGTGATAAAAGATATTTTGTTTTTGGTGTAAATAATTCATATAATTTACTTTGTGATAATGTTAATATAGGTTTTGTTTCAATAAGAAAATAAGCTAATATAGAATCAATACGTTTTTCACGTTTATGAAGAAAATTTTCTATTGGTTCTTGTATACGATTTATAACACAAAACCAACCAAGAACAGTTGGTGATAATGTTGAAAGAAAATTCCAATCATAACGTGTATATGAAAAAAGTTTTTTTGGTGTTGGAATTTGTTGTGTAGAATTTGTTATATTTGTACGTAAACGTTTTGATGAATTTGATGTTGAATGTGTATGATGTGGAGGTTCAGGAAATGATATCCATACATGATCAATTGATCCATCAAATATACTACTTGATAATGAATTAGATGATAATGGAACGATTGAAGAAGAAGTTGCAATTGGTGGAATGTTTGTTGATGGTGATGGAATTATTGAAGGCTAAATATTTAGAAATTTAGTTTTGAATGATTTAAATTTTCAATAATAAAAAATTATTCAATAATAAATATATGTTGGAATAAATGATCGTAAAAACTTGATTATTTTTATAATATAACTAACGAGGGAAGAGGTCGTCAAGTATGACATGCCGTTGTAAATCGAATGATTCAATGAGACTAGATGAAGTTCGTATGTTGTCCTTTTCGAGTTATGACCGTTTTACTGAAATTGTGCCTATCAATAAGTCTCATGGTCCTTAGAATGTTCTAAAAATTTCACTCTAACAGAAAGGTTTTATTCCGCAGATATTTAGTATCCAAAAAAAGACGATCATGTGTCGCAAGAAAAAATCAGAAAAACGAGTGTTTTCTATGGGCAAACTTCCGTAATTCGATTTTCCCATATATATCGTACTCTAGGCCAAAAATTTAGTAAAATTGTCATAACTCGACAAGAACAGCGTATGAAGATGAACCCTTTTAAACTTCGTATAGATCCGATTCAAAATGGCGCGTCACACTTGAGAACCTTCCTTCGTAGGACAATATAAGAATGTCGATTGTCTTTGTACAAATTATGAGAATGACACAAATAGGATGCCGTACTTGGAATTACTATTATACAGTTTTCAATTAACATACAGTGAGATTCCTTTTCACCATTTCGTATCTATTATCCGTTTCTAAAAAGAATAGGCTCGATTGTTTGTTGAATAACTCGGCAATGCTGATAGCTATCGAGCTCGAGCTTTTGCCATTAGAATGAGCATGAGTGGGGATAGAAGTCTTCTTGAGAATCAAAATACTCTGAAAATTGAATATCTCGAGAAAGTAACATCATTTTTGACTCAAACTTTTAGGATATTCTATGAGCAAATTTTCAGATAGAAATTCTGTAACTTCATTTTCTGGTGAATATCTAGGAAAGCTTGATAGCTATCAGAGTTACCAAGTTATTCAACAAACAATCGAGTCCATTCTTTTTTGAAACGGATAATAGTTATCTTGAGAATTTTCGTCGGAAAAATTTATCTACGCTATGATATTGATTGTAGAAAATTTTAAATCTCTGGATTTCTATTTTATTTATTCTTTGTCAGGAGTAGAATCTATCGAGTGCGAAATATTTTGTCCGTACTCAGAATCCGAACTTTAGTGATGATATTCTATTTCAAGTATGACTAAACCTGAAACTCAAGTCTAGAGGATGTGCAGTTTCACTTTAGTAATCGCTGACGTCAACAACTCAATGTAGTTGATGCACACTGGCGCCAATGGTCGCTAAAGCATTTGAACACACCGCTACAAAAAAATGGCATATTTTGAAAGGATTAGTGTTTCTATGTTGCAGCCAACGCAGACGTCAGTGTTCCAGTGTCGACGACTTGCACGTGACTGTTTGATTCGAGTCATTTATTCAAAGAAAAAAAGGTATCTAATTCTCATGATTGATCTTTTTAATTTACTTCAGTTGATTGTTTTCGTTTTGATTTATGTTTTGATGAAATTTTTGTTGTTTGTGTTTCATCAATTTGTGTCATATTTGGTAAAACTGATTTTCTTTGTTGTTGTTGTTTAGCTGCATTATTGATTAATTTAAAACATAAACGTTGTAAACCAAATTCATTCATAACAAAACCAAAATTTTTTCTATTCTTATCTCCAATAGGTAAATGTGTTTGAATATCATTTGATAAACGAAATTGTAAACGACAACGTTGTGTTTGTATAGCATGTATATTAACATTTTCAATTGAAGAAAAATCATTTTCAAAACGACGAAATTGTCCTGTTATTGATTGAATTTTAAAAACACCAGCTGTTGATTGATCATGTTTAGATAAAATTGTTTCCATTTGTATTTGTTTACATGATAATGCAAATAATGACATTGTAACAATATCAACTGGTGTTCGTAATTCTGTTAATTGAACATTATCTTCAGCTAAACCAGCTTGTAATAAACAGACATTTATTTTTGATAATTGTAAAGAAATTTTTGTTGATGATAAATCAATTGATGTTATTGGAGGATTTGATTGTGTTTGAGCTTGTATATGAAGACTATCAAGAACAGATATTGGATGAATATTATATGTTTTCCATTTTTCAATATATGTTGTTAAACATTCAAGCATAAGTGGTGTTAAAAGTATATTTAATGTACCAATAAATCGAAGACATATTTCTTTTTCTGTTGCTATTGTGTTTGATGAACTTATTGGAGATATTGTTGGTGCAAGTGATAAACGTGGTCGATTATTTGTTGTTCCTGTTGATGTTGATAATTGCTGTTGTGGTTGTTGTTGCTGTTGTTGTTGTTGTTGTTGTTGTTGTTGTTGTTGTTGTCGTGATTGTGATGTTGTAAATGATTGTGTTGATGGTGAAGTATCAAATAAAAATGAACATGAAAAACCTTGTGATACACAATTAAAATCAAGTATTGGATGATAATCATTTTGATCTTGTTGAATATTTGGTGGAAATATTGCTTTATTTGACCATGTTGATGAATGATAATGAGATAAATAACGAATATATGTTGTACATAGAAGAGTAGATTTTGGTATAGGCATTTTCATTTGATTACGTAAACTAATCCATGAAGAACTAGGTAAAGATGGTTGAGGAATAGAATTATGTTCCATTGATGATGATGTACCCTAAATAAAAGAATGAATTTTTAATATTATATATGTATTTTAATTATGAGTTCAGATTAGAGATGTGCAGATCTACGAGAAAAATAGTTGTTCCAATTGGAACTAAAGATTACAATTAATATCTTATAAACCATATCCATTAGTACAAAGATAATCCTAAAAAATACTGGCTATGAATTAAATAAATCGAAAAATGAATATTGAAGAATTGTTTTTCGATATCATACAAATCCATTCTGGAATAGTTTTTTTTTTTTAAGACCAAGACCAAATTAGATTTTGCTGAAGTCTAGAATGATAGATTGTTTATGAAGGATTAGATAAAGTTCAAGAGAATAGAAATTAATTTTCGATGCAATCGATCGTTCGAATTTTAATATATCGTATTATGTTTTTTTTTTTTGTAAAATCTACCGGTAAAACGTCTCAAGAGATTTTTTACAAGATCATGTAAGTCAGTTGCTGAATCTCGAATGATCTGAGTATTTGATTATTTCACTTACGAGGGAATACTACCAAGTGTCTCGTTCATTTATATATTATTCGATAGAAGATCTCGAGTAGATAAAAAGCCTAAAAGGATTCTGATCGACGTCTTTTTCTTCGGGAGTAACGATCAATTTTCTGATTTTCTCAGTGAAAAGTAGAATCAAAAGAAAAATTCCTAACTCATAGAGAGTCGAAATTTGTTTTGATGATAGAAACAGAGTGATTGAATTGTGAAACTTTCAGAATATATAAGACTATCATCAAAACAAATTTCGGCTCTCTATGAATTAGGAATTTTTCGCTGAGAAAATTAGAAAACTGGTCGCAACTCCCGAAGAAAAAGCCATCGGTAACAATCCTTTTAGAATTTTTATCTACTCGAGATCCCCTATCGAATGATATATACACGAACGAAATCGAAGCGAGATATCTGGAAATGTTCTCTCGTTAGACATAACAATCAGATGATAAAAACTTACAAGATCATAGTTTCAGAACTCTTACGCCAATGATGAAACAGCCTGAACTGTAATATTAGACACACAAGGAAGTCTTGGTAAGACTAGAACAAGCTTAATAGGCTTCCTACTTATAGGCCTTTGAAGTCTATTCATGATCATTTTAGTGAATTTTCGATCCATTTTAAGGTATTTACTGAAAAATTAAATAATAGCATTTTGACTTGCAATTTAGCCTATACGAAAAGATAGTTTCTTTATTGAGATATTGAATTTCCAAGTAAAACTCGATTTTTACGGCATGGCTATGGCAAGAGATCATTTTCTAGAAATTCAATATCTCAAAAAATGAACATTATTTTCGTATAGGCTAAATCTCAGATCAAAATTTCATCATTTGATTTTTCATTAAATACTTAAAAATAGTTCGAAAATTCAATAAGTCGACTTCATAGGTCCACTAACAGAAAATCTTCAAAAAACTTTTCTAGTGTTTCTGAAACATCTAATATGAGTTCAAATATTGAATTACAGTTTGGTATCATTCCCTTATTACTCGTAATATAAAATTCTTGTAAGATATCACTAGAACTCTTATAGTAAGTACTTGATCGAATTTAAGAATAAGTGAGTATTGGTTTCATCTCTATCCATAGGTGTAAACACATTGGACATTATTATTCTAAAGTTTTATTTATAATAAACTAGCGAGTAGATAATTTATTTTTAAAATTTGTTAATTGAATGATTTAATTTACTTTTTGAGATGATAAAAATGTTGAACTATGTCTTGCTTGTTGTCTTTGAAGTATTTCTTCTAAAGCTGTTAAAGAATCTGATGATGATGATGATGACGATGATGTTGATGAATGTAATGAATCAGTTAATAAAATTTTATCGTCAATTGAATTTGATTGTATAAATGATGATCTTGTTGATGATTGATGTTGTATAAGTGTTAATGATGATAAAGATGATGATTCTATAATATTATTTGTATTATTTAATGTTGAATTAATACTTGATTGACTTGAACGTGGTAATGATAATTGTTCATCAGGTGTTAAATAATCATCACTTGTCATTGTTGTTGTTGTTGTTGTTGTTGTTGATAAACCTCCTGTATTATGTAATGGTATTGATGATGATGAACGTTTACGTTCATTTTGATCAATAATTGATTTATGTTGTGTATTTCGTGCTGAATTTGTACGTGATAATGAATATAAATCTGCTGGTAAACTATGACGTAATTCATTATCATTTAAATGATTATGTTGTTCATTAATTTGTTTTGATTGTGTACAAAAATCAAATGGATAAAAAATTTCTTCATCATCTAATTCATCATTTGATAATGTTATATTTTCATATATATTCCAATTATATTTATGTTCAAATATTGAATGTGATTGTATAACATATAAATCAGGTCGAAATAATGAACGTCCAAATGATGATTGTTCACTAAGACGAAATGTATTTTTAAAAAATTGTTCACCTTGTACAAGTGTATAATAATTTGATGAACCACCTAAACATGCACATGATAATATATTTGAATTTGTTGATAAACCAACATTTGATGGACGTTTTATATTTGTTGTTGTTGATGGTAAATTTAATGTTTGTTGTGATTTAATATTATAAAGAAAATGAAGTCGTTGGGAATGTTGATCATGTCGACGAAGAAATTCTAATTGTTCATTTACATTCGATGATGTTGGTGGATGACAATCAAATTTAGCATTTATACGTAATTCAGGTATATATATTGAACCAGCTTCTAACCATGAACTTGGATAGAGACGTAATAATTGTCGAATTTGAATTGTACCAATTTTTAATGTTAAACTTTCATTACAAGATATTGTATGCATATTACACATACATAAACGAATAGGTGCAACCTAAGAAATAATGAAATATGTATTTTTTAATCATTTAAATAGAATAACATATGCTTATTTAATGGCGAAAAACAAAAAAAAATCTTTGTTCTTCTCTTGTTTGTAAAAAAACTTCATATCAAATACGTTTCGTTATTGTATATAAACTGTTTCTATAGGATTAAGAAGAAATGTGTCCTCCTCACAAAGGGGAATAATCGAAATCCTGAATTCCTCTGGATTCAAAAGATTCCCTAAAACTCCTCTAGATTTTCAATACGCTTCTAAAGCTATCAAAGGACTCCATCTGTATCACCTTCAGGTTTCCATGCTGATATCTTTTTTTTTTCATTTTTCTTTATTCTATTCTTTTGTGGTTAATACATTGATGATTTGTTATTTTTGTTTGCTGAGTTGTAGTTCATAGGATCATATTACCTTCACTAGAAGCGTTGTGATCGAACTAATCTCTTCATTTATCTATCAATAGATTCAGATCGATTTATCTTATCAGATGTCTAAGTATATAATTGCATTAGTGAAATCCTTTTATTAATGAAAATTTTTTGATATCAATAATCATATAATTGATGTTTCAATAGACAGAAATGTTCGAATCATTTTTTTATTTAATTTTACTTGTTTCCTTCCATAGGACGTGATAAGCTACCGGTTGACAGATGATTATTTTTCTCAGTCAATAGAGATACTCTGACTATTTATATGTAAGAATTTCGTCGTGTAATTAATTTTCACTTTGAAATATGAGTTTGCTAAATTAGAATTAGTTTTATCTATGATACATGTTCCAGAAAATATTGTTTTTTATAGATTGAACACGTTCAGCATTTTGTTCATTATCAGGTACAATATCCTCATCTTCATCACTACTGTTATTATAATCGTTGTCTTCATCATTGTTAGTTTCATATTCATAATCATCTGCTTTTGAAGTCATATCCTTAACAACATTTATTGTTCCTGTTAAATTATCAGATACTCTTGACTCTGAATTTAATTCATTAAACATAAATTTACTTAATTTTTCTAACTTATAAATTTTATGGTTTTTTAACAATGTTACTATTCTTAAATTTTCAATTAATTCAATTGATGCTTCATACGATTTTAATATAACTTGTTCTACATCGGATTCTATGCTTCCGTGAGATTCCGTTTTTCCCCCTTGCCTTCTCATGATTTGTAACAGTAACTACGTCGTGTTTCACATTTCACTCTTACAGATATTGAATTAATAGCTTTTTCTTTACCTGTACATTAAGAGCATTACCAACTTCAACAAGATTAAGATCAATTGAATCCAAACTGAATCGAAGAACATCATATTTAAGTTTTTCAATCCATTTTGCTTTATCAATAACAGGTGAACGTACAAGTGTATATTCATCTTCCATGATTTGTAAATAAAAATTTTTCAGAAAACAAATAAATTTTTCTATCTAATAAAAATCAAAAAAACAAAAAAATTTGATTTAAAAAATAAAAATTTAAAAAAAAAATTACTTGAATTGTTGTTACACGAGCTGATATTTTACCAAGTATAATTTCCATTTGCCATGCATATTCAAGTGTTTCACGTTCAGGTGGTAAACCTTCATGTGAAAGCATTGCATGACCACGAATAACTAAACCAGATAATTGAAGACATCCAGTAGATAAATGTTGATCTGATTTATTTCGCTATATTAAAAAAAAGAAAACACTAAGTTTCGAATAACTATTCAAATTATCTCTCACAAAAATATTACAATGATAAACAGAAGTAATCATCAGAAATGCAGTAGTGTAGAACTCAGTAAGTTGTAACAACTTTTCAACTATTAACAATTTTACAACTATTCCTGTTCCATGGGATTCGCAGTATATCTGTAGGATTTTTGTCGTGATGATCTAGTTTGTGTTCGTATAGTTTAATAGTCGAATAGTCATAACGACTATTCGAGTTTTACATGTATGGGATATGCTTATGTAAAAAGTTCGAGACTCTCGAGCGAAAATCAAAAAGATGAAAGGTTACACCTATTTCTAATTCCTCAAGAAATAAGCAACGTTTATATCTTGTCTTCTATTCGTATTCCAATTAGAGCTTTTTCCTTACATACAGTCAGAGCATTTATAGCGACAATGTCTATCATCTCATAAAAGACACAAAGTAGTCATCCCATTGTGCCTCTTCTTGCGGAATACTTATGACACATCTAATCAACAGT